ACTATGACCCTGGTAATCCTGATTGTTTTGAGCTTTGCAACTGGGCCTTAAGATTAAAGGTCCCCTCTTCGACCATCCAAGCTATGCTTATGCGGAAAGCTTTGGGTGCAGTGTCCGCCAGTGGCGCCCCCTGCTGCTCTGTCCTGTTCCTGCGGCTTCAGCGCAACTTTGTCTGGGTCCACAGTCTCCTCCCGCACCTGTGCTGCCTGCCTCCTGGGCCGAGGACGTGCAGTGAGTGGTGAGGCCACCGGCTAAACCTCAGACACGCTGCCTGTCTTTAGACTTCTGAGCCGGAGGCACCGGTATGACCAAGCCTCGCATCCTTGATTCAGTCCGATGGCCGTCCTGTCTCCGTTTCCCAGTCACGGATGAATGGGAGATTTTTGAATCATTTTAGTGTCCAACCACAGCTTCGTGGATTCTCTTTTAGGAAGTGACTGTTTGATCATTTCAGCTGAGGTGCTTTTGTGTGGTCATGGATTGATCATATTTTCAAGAGATCAGAAGCCCTTTTTTCTTTGAAAGGAAAGGAGTGTGTTCCACCAACAACTGCAGGTTTAATGCTTGGAGACTTTCCGGACATGTTCCACCAATGCCTGAAAAGAGCTGCAGATAGTATAGTGCGTAGCAGCGACGCCATCAGAGGTCAGAGCAGGGCGTGTGTGAGGCAGGGGGAGGTGCACGTCCCCCTGAAACATTCAGCATCAACGTGAGACGAGGAGGCTCAGTTCTGCCCAGGGACCCTCCCTTTGAAACGCCTCTTAGAATCTGGGACCTAGCGTCAGGGGGACTCACTGTCTCAGTCTGCCGGGGACTGGGGGCTTCCTGGAATGTCGGCATTTCGAGGCTAAAACTGCAGCATTGCTGGACAGACCGGGTAATTGGTCCTCCGGAGCTGGCACACATGGTGCGTGTAAGCTTTGTCTCGAAGTGGACTGTAGTTAAACTACAGCTGCGTTGCTTTTAAGGGAGGACTTGTTACATCAGAGGATGTCACCTGCAAAAACCATGAGGAAGTGCATCCCCCACCCCGCCCCGTAAGTTTGCAGTTTTCAGTGGGAAAAAAATAGCAATACTTAACCATTTAATTTTTTTATAAGCAAAGCAGGACTTCAAACTATTTGAAAGATGACCTCTTTTTCAGAAATTAGAGGCGCTGCATTTATTGCCAGCCAGTCATGGCTGTCCATCTGCTAATTCCCTTCTCGTGGAGGGAGCAGCTGTCGTCTCAGAAGCGCTACAGCAGATAACAAGATGCGGTGCATTTTCCCTTCCGATGCTTAAAACAAATCCCTGGGAAGAGCCGCGGCAGTTCCTTCGGCTGCGCGCATCTCTGATATTATTTACACAAAATGGCAAATGGATTTGGGGATTGGAAGCAAATGGATTCGCTTTAAAAGGAAAAGCACTTGAGGTGGGTGTAGTGCCCATTATCGTCATCTGCAATTCCAAAGACAGGGGGCAGGGGGACACTGGTGGAATGCATGAGCACGTACTCTGGGACACTGGCCACATGTCGGGCCCTGAGTGCCAGCTCAGCGTCTGAGAGTCCCCCATCCACACACACGGGGACCCTCCGTGCCGAGGGCTGCGGACCAGACAGGCCTCACCGCAGACTAGCAGCTCCCCTGAGTCTCACATCAGCCCAGCTTCTCTCCAGGTTCAACGACTTGGCTTCTCTTAGATCCCATCCTTCCCTTTGCACTGTTTCACAGCCCGAAAGCCAGTCAACAGTTTACATCGGTTTATTCCTTTGCGGTGTTTTGGATGATCTGTTTTCCCGCTCTGTGGTCCCATTGCTCCACCCTTCACGGCCCTCAAGTCCAGTGGAGGACAGTAAAACCGACCATGGCCTCTCGTCTGGGTTCTTCTCCCTTTCAGTCAGCCTGCCCACAGCTCCGTGATTACTCCTCATGCGGAAAATAATCAGGGCGAAGTAAGGAGCCAATGCACCCAGTCCAGGCGGCGCTCTGCGTCTCTGAGCATTATGGGTGTGGCTGGGGTGCAGCTACAGATACTGCTGGGGTGCACAGGTGAAGCAGGGGTGGGCAGGACCCGGGCGTGGGCAGAGGCAGAAGTGGGGCATTGTGGGTATTTCTGCATGGAGAGATCTAAGGGAGCCTCTCCTTTCCCCTTCACGATGATGCTGGGAGGCAGGTGAAGCAAACCTCTGTTTTTTCACCTGTGAGGATATTAACTATCAGAGAGTGCCCCCACAGCCCTGGCCGGGTGCTCTGTGGGTGGAGGCATCATCCAAGAGGTGGTGGGTTTGACCCCTGGTCAGGGCTTCTGCGGGAAGCATGTGGATGTTGCTCGGTCTCTGTCTCTCTCCTCCCCTTCCTCTCTTTCCAAAATCAATAAACACGTCCTATGGTGAGGATTAAAAAAACAAAAAAAATTCCGCACATCCCATCCCTAGTGACAGAACTTTAGATCCTTTTTACCAAAACTTGAGCTTATTATGATTGCAGCACAAACTTTTGTTTCAATTGCTGGGCCTCGTGATCCAGGATAGGGAGACAGGAGGCCGGCCTGCGGAGCCGCCTGCCCTGGACCCCTGCAAGGCCTGCACTCTCGCTGACCCCTGCATGTGCTTTTACGGGGCCTCGAAGGACTTCATCACTTTCGATGTTACAAAGAAAAAACACATCCCCTGTGTTGGTGGGTCAAGGCAAGGGGGAAACAGCATTTTAAAGAGAGCTGGGAGGCGCTTGGAGGCCGCGCCTGAGAGTACCCGGATTTGAGAAAAGCAACTGTTGAGACACAGCAGTCACGCCCAGGAGCAGGTCCGGGCGCCTGCGTCTTCCTGCGCCTGTCTGCATTCAAGGTCTGCGTCAAATTTTGCCGCATCCTCCGTCACCTGGCAGACCAGATACACCCTGTTTCTAGATGTCACTGATGATAAAATGAGGAGGGGGGTGGGGTAAAGCGAGGGAAGAACAGGGAAAGAAGTCAGAGAGGAAGATGCACCCAGCCCTACCATTTTCTCAAGTCAAAATATTTTAATGGTGTAATCGTCATCCATGATTAATCTAAAGATTTCTCCATTTATAGAGCTGACAAGCAGCAGGAAACTAATATTTAAAGATAATTCCAGAAACATGAAGATGAAAAAGGTGGTAAAAGGAGGAGGAAGCTGAACTTTTTTTCCTTCCACCTCCAGGATTTATTGAAAAGGGTACTAAAAACACAGGAAATGTATCTGATTCTACATATAAATGCTAATGCAGTTATTTATTCCAGGCTGTTTACTGCATGCCAGCCCCAACACATTCAGTGTACAAGGGTTTTGATGGTAACAAAGAACTGTTCCTGTCTCCAGGAAGCTCATGGCTGAACAGGGAAGACAAGAATAGCCCTGGCTGCTGTGGCTCAGTGGATTGAGTGCTGGCCTGCAAACCAAACGGTTGCTGGTTCGATTCCCAGTCAGGGCACATGCCTGGGTTGCAGGCCAGGTCCCCAGTAGGGGGCGTGCAAGAGGCAACTGATTGGTGTATCTCTCACACATCCATGTTTCTCTCTCTCTCTTTCTCCCTCCCTTCCCCTCTCTAAATAAATAAAATCTTTTTTTAAAAAAGGAGTTTTTAGCCCTGGCTGGCATAGCTCAGTGGATTGAGTGTGGGCTGCGAACCAAAGTGTCGCAGGTTCGATTCCCAGTCAGGGTACATGCCTGGGTTGGAGGCCATGACCCCCAGCAACTGCACATTGATGTTTCCCTCTCTCAAAATGAATAAATAAAATCTTTTTAAAAAGGGAGTTTTTGCAAAGATTTTATGGGAGATAAAAAGATATCTAGATAGAGAGGTAAACCCCCTTACAGTGGTTTTGTAAGAACTCTGAGGGAGCCTCTGGATGCTTTCGCAGCATCCGGAGCAGAGTGCAGTGGGCTAGGGGTCAGGGAGAGTCTCTCTGTAGAGCTGACGCGGTGGAGTGGGTGGAGCCTAGGGGAGTCCTGAGACAGCAGACACGGTGGCCCAGAGGGAACTCTGAGCAGTGTGCGGGGCTGGGGTGTGGGCAGACAGGGCGGCAGGACATGGGGCAGGACTAGAAGACAAGAGGCTCCACAGCTTTCCCCAATCTGCTGCACCCTACTCCCCGCCCTGGTGAGTCAAGGATATACACCTTAGCGGGACTGTCAGGAGCCTCCCCCAGCGTGGGCCGTACGGGCTAACCTGGGGACGGTGGGCTCTTGGGGAGACCTCCCCCGTGGCTCAGCACCTCCGTCTCCTTCCCTCCGACCCGCAGCCCCCGCTGCCGCCGACCCGCTGTGTCACCTCTGTGAAATATAACCTGCTGCTTTTGATGATGGGCATCTCTGTTTCCCAAAGGAGGGGATGGGTGGTTCTGAGCTGATTTCTAGCACTAATATTCCCCGAGACTCTGGTTCCCTGGGTAAATGTCAGCCTTTCTCAGTCCTCTGTGAGGACGGGGGGAAGCAGTGTGGTAGGAGAAAGAGCCTCCTACCTTCTAGAGGCAAACGGACGTCGAGATAAACCTCAGCTCTTAGTGACAGGATCTTGGTCCTTCCAGTCAGTTGTTTGTTAAGCTCCAGTCTCTTCACGGGGTGCAGGAACACCCACCCACCTGGCGGAGTTATAGGGCCAGCTGGAAATACACTATCTCCCCCAGCCAGCATAATAGATGGAGCTCTGTTTGTGTAATTGAAGGTCCCAGAGTCTAGGTACCTTTACAGAACACATTTTCTGTGCATCCACAGAGTGCGGAACTACATCTCCCAAACCTCATGTTAACACTTTGGTAGCCCAATGCCAAGAGAAATAAGGTTTCCCGTTTTGGGGGTGCTGTGAGAGCAATCGCGCCTCTGAGGAAGTTGCGAGGACAGACCTGCAGCTCTCGGGACACCTGCAGTTGCAGCCACCCGGGCAGATGTCAGGGGGAAGTTGGCTTCCTTGGTTTAAGTGGGTGTCTTATTGATACTAACTTTCCCAAGTGACCCTCTCCTAAGCGAGTGCTTATTTGCTTGTCGTTTGTCGCTGCAGTCACCGGTGCTCACTGCGAGGCGAGGACTTGAACAGGCAGTGGCTCGCTCCCAGCGCGCAGCTCCAGCCCACCATTTACCACGCCAAAGGCCTCCTCCACTACCTGAACAGCGTCGGCCGCAGCCCCGCGGTGAGTCCCTTCCTCCTGCCTCCACACTCCTGGCTGGTTCCTTACCCCTTCCAGGAGGCAGAGTACTTCCGTTCAGGCCAGAAAGCCAGATGGAAGCCAAAGACCTGTGCGTGACCGGCTCTGATGCAGGCTGGAGTTAAGTCTTAGGGCTGCCATGAAACAGCGCCACAGATGGGGTGGGTGGGGGGCTTCAAAGAACAGAAACGTATTCTCTCACATTCCCGAAGGCTTGGAGTCTGAAGTTAAGGTGCCAGCAGGCGGCGATGTCTCTGAAGCTTCCAGGGAAGAACAGTGTATTGTCTCTTGCCCCTGCGTGCGTCTGTGTGCGCATGTTCCTCTTCTTGGAAGGACGGAAGTCACTGGACTCGTGCCCGCTCTCATTCAGGACGGTCCCCATCTTGATTTGACGACATGCACAAAGACCCTGTTTCCAAATAAGGTCCCTCTCACAGGCACTGGGAATTAGAGCTTCAGCAGTTTTGCGGAGTATAGGGACACAATGCAGCACCCAGCAATGGCAGCCCATTCATTGGTTCACGCCTCATCAGTGAGGCTCCTGGTCCAGAGGGCAGAGCGGGTCAAGGCTGCGCTCGCCTCCTCCCACGCCCGCCTCACAGTCCCAGCTCCACCACGGAGCAGCCAGCATGGAGAACCTCCTGGGGTCTAGCTGGATAGAAGTCTCCTGACTAGGAATTTGTAGAAGACATGCGTCAGGACCGGCAGGAGGGGCGGAGACACGGAACAGGCTGGCCCCTCCCCCACGTGTGTGGACTAGAAAATCAGGAGGGGTGTCTTACTAAATTCTGAGGATGGTTCTGGCAATGGCCCAGGCATATTTCATGTATTAGTTTTCACCCAGGCCTATAGCAACTGTGCAATGGATGAAGAACAGAGAATTCGAAACCAGAGGCTTAGGCTTAAGATAAGAAAGGTGGCGATGGTGGCCAAATGACGGTACTGAAGCCATCATTTATTGACTCCAAACTCTGCGTATCTGTCTGCAAAGTCGTGGAGGCTCCTAGGCCCAAATTTTCAGTGCGAAGGAACTCGAAGTAATGTAGAGGAGTTCACAGGTGAGCCAGCGCAGCCACCTCTACCACTAACCACCTTTTGATCCCACGTAACGTGGCATGGTCAGTGAGTAGCTACTGAAACAGTGGATCGATCTCTAATATGGGATGTTGTTTAAATCTCAGAATGATTCGGAGGTCAAGGGATTTCCCGGGAGTGGGGAGTCAGTGCTGACCGGTTGTTCTCTCCTATAGCCCTGTCTTTCTCCAGCACTACTCTTCGGGAGGTGTGCTGGGAGTCCCCAAGACTCCCCTCAGGTCCAGGGACTCCCTAGAAGGAGTCACAGAACTCAGAATAGTGCTTATGCTTACGATTGCCATTTATTATGGTGACAAGATGCAAATGAAAGTCAGTGGAGGTGGGAGGCACCCATGTCTCCATGTGTTTGCTCCCAGCACATTGTATGGACAGTGCTTAGCTCTCTGCAGTGACGTGTGATGATGTTGATGACGTGTGATGACGTGTGATGACGTGTAGAGGGGGGGCCAGCCCAGAAAACCTGCCAAGAGGAGCATTGGTATCCAGGATTTTTATTGGGGGTGAGTTGGTAGACACCCGACATGGCTCATCTTGTTTACTCAGGCTCCAGCCCCTTCAGGGGTCAAACGGACCCTTTGTGGCTCAAGACTCCCACCATAAATCACAGGTCAATGTCAACTGTGTGTCACGGCCCAAGGCCCCAGGTGAAGATGCTCTCATCCAGTGGAATAGTTGAAGGATGTCAAGGTCCTCTCCCGGGAGCCAGACCTGTGTTTGGAATTTGCAGGGTTTGAGCACTTCAGACTTGTCCAGTCAACTGTGCGTTGTGCAGAGAGCAAAGCACATCCTTTTCCCCGAAGAATCCTCGTTGTACACTTGGTCAGATTGTGCAGCCCCTCACCCTCCCATCCAAGAGGTACTGTAGGCCATGCTGTCTCCGCTCCAGGAGCAAGTGGCCTGCAGAGCAGAGCCCCTGTCTCCCGGAGGTCACGGCCTGGAGAGTGCGTGCTCTCTGAGGGGGAGCCTTAGCCTCTGGGAGAAGAGAGAGATTCTCGGGGAAAGAGGTCCCCACCGGACACACAGTTAAACACACCCACTCAGCTCATCACAGACAGGGTTCTTCTCTGCTCTGACAGCCTCTCACTGAAGAGCAGAACATTTATTCCAAGGTGTGACAGGTGAAACTCCTGTTAAAAACAGAAATAAACATGAATTAACTGTAAACACGACAGCCACCGACTTGTTTCCTGCTGGGACCATCTGAGAGGTGGGCAAGAAGCAGCTGAGCACTCAACGCTGTTCTCGGCGTCACAGATCCTCCGACGGGCTCAGCATCGCCTCCTCGTTAACGACAGGGCTGTATTTAACCTGCTGCCTGCTGACTGCAGCACCCTGCCGTGCGCTCCGTACTTGGGCCCACGCTGCTCTGGGAAGGTCCCCGCCGTGCCAGGGCTGACCCCTGGGCTACACAGCTGCGGGAGAACTGTGGTTCTGCACGGCCTCTGGCTCTCAGGAAAAGATCTCCTGAAGCCGTGGGAGGCTGCTTCTGGTTGCCTGGAGGCTCCACCTGTTCAAGGCGGGACTCAGGCATTTGTTTGTGTTTGGATAGAAGGATATAAACTCCAGGGCCAATGGGAATGTGAGACAGGGTTGACAAAGAGCAGACAATAAGCAGTACAGCAATATTGGCATATTCTTTCCTTCATCCATCCGACTGACCATTCATGCACCCATCCATCCACCGCCCACCCACCCACCCATCCATTCATCCATCCATCTATCCACCACCCACCCACCTACCCATGCATCCATCCATCTATCCACTCACCCACCCACCCACCCATCCATCCATCCATCCATCCATACATCCACTCACCCACCCACCCACCCATCCATCCATCCATCTATCTATCCATCTATCCACTCACCCACCCACCCACCCATCCATCCATCCATCTATCCATCCATCCACTCACCCACCCACCCATCCATTCATCCATCCATCTATCCACCGCCCATCCATCCATCCATCCATCCACTCACCCTCTGGACAGGCATCCATCTGTCCACTCATTTACACCATGTGTGTGTAACCATTGTGCTAGGTTCTGGGGGTGCAGGTCCAATTTTTAATTTGAAACAGCTTGTCCTTTTCTCCGAGGAGCCCGTAGTTTACTTTGGTAAGAAAGTGGAGTCGTATCTGCACAGAAACCAACGAGTGCAAGTGTTAAAAACGGTCACAAAGACTCACATGAGTTGTTGAGTCATTTTCCCTGGAGTTGATGGAAAATCTAGACCCTGGAGGTGCCATCTGAGCTGGACTTGGAGGGTGAATAGGAGTTCTGTTTGGCTTTTGTCACAGCCAAACTGAGAACCACGCTTTGCTCAGAGAGCCTGCAGGCCTGACAGGGGTCTTCTGATCCCCCGCCTTGTGACACTGGAGCTCTGGCCAGTTTTCTGTGCTCGGGGTCACTGGGTAAGATAAACAAAAGGGAGCTCTTCATTAGCTGGTGGGCGGGACTCATCTGATATCACGCTGACCCGACAGTCCCTTTCCTGCTCTCTTTGAACCCCAGTTTTGTCTCTCTTGTTTGTGAGAGGCTCAGGAAGCCTACTCCAGATGTCAGCTCCAAAAGCCCAGACACATGGTCAATATTGATGTATTTGTACATGGGAACGCTAGCAAACAATAACAATTAAAAGGATACCACCAACAGTAAAGGGCCAATGTACTCGACAGCGTGGGTGGGTTTCAGAAACATGCTGAGTGAGGTGTGCTGGACACTAAGGAGGACAAACTCCACATGTGAAGCTCAAGCTCAGGGAATCTGTGAAGACAGACATTCAGAACAGTGTTTGCCTCTAGAAGAGAGTGAGTAATTGGGGCCAGGAGGGAGCTCTCCAGGTCAGTGGAAATGTTGTTCTGTATTTTGATTAAAGAGTCCGTTACACCAGAACTCATCGATCTGTGCATGCAAGATCATGTGCGTTTCTCCAAAGGTGCACACTTACCTAAATGCGGAGGATTAAATATCAATAAATTAAAGCAAAGTCACTGAGCTTTGAAATGTAACTAGGAGATAGGAGGGGGCGTCCCAAATGAGGCGGACCTCATAGAGACACGCAGTTTAAGCCAAAGGAGACATCTTTCGTAGAACAGACTAGAAAGACTGCCAGATAAGATCTGTCTGGGTCCAGGCAGGGAAAAGCCATGCAAGCAGAGAAGCCCAGAGAAGCAGGCAGGCTCAACAATTAGCTAGTAGGAGGCATCGAATAGGCTGCCCTTGGTGGGCAAGGAAGGGCAGGAGGCAGGCGGCCAGAGGGCCCGTCAGGCACGGCCTGGGGGACTGGAAGGAAGCTCTGGGGGTCCTGGGAAGCAGGGCCAACAGCCTTTTTCTGAGCTGCTGTGTTGCAGCTGACCTTGGCCCCTGCGCCACTGCAAAGCATCTGGGCTTCCGAGTCAGGTCGGGCGTGGTCCCCCGTCCTCTCGGCCCTCACTCTGTGAGAGCGTGCTGGGGAAGGAAGGCTCTTTGCGGAGCTCACTGATTTCTGTTCCCAAGTCACCCGAACGGGCTGCTTTCTGCCAGGGCGCAGGGCGGGCAGATTTTGGTTTTGTCTTTCTCTGGGGCCAAATGGAACAGAATTTTAAGCTGCTTAAATGATTTCCCTGGTCTTATTTTGTCCCTCTGGCTAAAGGTTTTAGTTAATCATCTTCTTTTCAAAGAGGTGCAGATGGAGGGGGCAGAAGGGACGACATGTCCCCTCCTAAAGCCTAACCTCCAAGGTCTTCATACGCAGCATTTATTTTAGCTGCACCTTATTTGTCTCCTCTCTCTCTTTGAAAACCTTCACCCAAGGACGTGTTCATTGGTTTTAGGGAGGGAGGAATGGAGAGAGTGTGAGAGAGAGAGGGGGACGGACAGAGAGACATCGAGGTGAGAGAGAACCGT